GTACAGTTTCTGCTTTATACAAATTTCTCGTGTAGAATCCACGGCCTGACATTCGACCTGACGAAATAGGCGGAAAAACAGTAGAATATAAAAGAAAGAATTGTATTAATTACATTTTAAGTAAATATTTTCCAAATAACAATGACTTCTGCAGCATTTCAACGTATTGATGAGATTAGTAATTAGGGGGTCGCTATAACGATCGGTAGCACGGAAAGTGATGGGATAAGTGTCTGCTGCTGTATAACACCGTATTGCGCCTTTTCGTGGTGGACTCAATAGCGACCTAGTGGGCAAAATTCGATATACGTATTATGAATTTTCGTGATGGAATCCGTGTGGATTTGCCAGTTTTCAGAAGCATATATTCCTTATGAGTAATCTAACACAATTTTATTAAGGGTTTGTAAATGCTTAAATTATATTAATGAACTAGCTGTTTTAAGTCGAAGGAAAGAAGGTTGTTCCGCCTACTTTCCATTTTTGTTTTACTGACTCATATAAAGGACGCTCCATTAGCCACAGTTCTGAAAAACGCATTAACGGGTTCTGTTGGCGTCGGTCATGAGGCGGGCCCAGCCAGTATTTCTGGCCTTCATCTTATTGCATTTTACACTGTGTTCATGTGGTACCTTTTGTTGTGACATATTATTTTGTTCTAGATAATGGCTCTCCTTTCTTAAAGTTTAAGAGCATCGAATCCACAAGTGAAAGACGAGCTTATTTTCCGTACCATGGGAGCCGGAAACCAATTATTGTTGACGGAACTTCTCCCCAAGTGCTTATTCGCATTTATGAAACAATTAATGCGCACCCTCCGACGTTACGTTTTCACTGCATTGTCGAGACGTTATCCCAGAAATATCTTCTCAAAAAAGCCGACTTATGCATCCGAGTACGTATTGCACTTTATTTCTAATTTGCAAGTATCACCACTCAACCAAAGAACACTGTGAAAGTGCAAGGTCTGGCTTTCTCCATGCTGATTCAAATAAGTTTACGGCGACTGGTAGTCCATCAACAGGTACTGCTTTCTAATGCATTGCAAACGCCGATGCTAGGTTACACATTTGAATCAAATTGGACAAGAGGAGGTTCGCCTCTCGACGCCGTCTATTTCTGTCGCCTTGCTAATGAAAACGGCGTCATAGAATCCCAAACAATTGAAATTCAGGACGTGGAGTTTTACACTTCCAGTAGGTTCATTCATCAAGCAAAAGGAACATTTCTGTTTATTCATAGTTATTGCTCTTTATCCCGGATTTTACGCACATTCCTCTGCTACTGAAAGTTTTCTCTACTTCTGGATGCTGCTTTTAGCTTTTGGTTCTGTTCTCCACCCATGTATTTATTGTCGGCAATCTACGTACCGTTTTTATTGTGCTTTTTTGCTACTGCCGGCTTAATTCGATTTCTTGCATTTTTCAGAGTATCTTCAACAGGCACCTTTGGAAAATGTTCAGCGAGGCCCATTCGTTGGCAGTGAACTGCCGGTCTCTCTAGATTGTGGAGAGAGATCGTGGTCTAGCGTTGAGTTGCCGGACTGGGCCAAAGAAAATTTTCAAACCCCCTTTGAGTGGGTTCACTGTGATGTCCCGGCTGGTTCTATACTGGACCTACATACTTGTTACGAGAAGGCAATCCCTGCATATGATCCCGTCTCTTCCTTTTTCGAGACAACAGTTTTGCCAAATGGTGAGGTCAACACTTTTAAACGTATTTGTCTCATATTTGACAATATACACGACACACTTTTTCTACTCAGGTGTTCGCCGTCTTACGTTGCAAATTAGCAGGAATTTGCTGGCTTGAAATTTAAGATTTCATTCCGTTGCTGATTTCTGGGTTGCTTACATATTTTTATAAAAGCATTTCCCAGACGTTGATGTTTGCGTCCCTAACCTTTGTGCATTTTCAGCTGAAATTGACTTTTTGCATTTTTAGGCACGCTGATAATTCACCAACGCACCTCAGTGCCCTGGCGGCCGATCGGAATTTTGTGTGTCAGTCGAATTATGGCCAAGAGAGTCTTTGCTGCTTACTTCCAGAAAGAAAATGGAAGGTCCGTGCCTTTTCAATATATTCCAGGGGACTATGGGGAAGACTTGATTGTTCCAAAATCTCTGCAATCGGTATCCAAAGATTACCGGGCTGGACAGGTACGATATCATTCCGATTTTACAAGGGAATTTTTCTCGTTTTTTTGAAAATAAAATTTTATTTTTACCAGCCGAACATTCATTTCGTGCTGCTTCGGTCAGGTTTTAGTACACCGAGCCGATGTCATATTATTTTTCATTTTCTTTACTTTCTAGTACGCAAAGGGCACCGTTGAGCTGACGGCTCTGTATACGGCGAACCCCAGGAATACGAAAACCTCATGGACGAAGAATGGGGGCCCTTTACCAATTCTTTTCGAAACGACGGATCACAGCCTTATTTTCCCCGAAGTAATAACTACTGCAGACAGCGGTAAGATCGAGCCACCTTAAAGTCATCAGAATTTTTGGATATATTTTTCATTTCTCTCCAGATCCTGTAACACAAAACCCAGTTGTTTTCCTTATCGTTTCTGGGAAACGTCAAGCCTGCTCGAGACGCACTTTTACGCTTTCTGCCTTAACATTATATCCGGTGACTTTACTGTCACATTTTAGTTTAGCTACTGTTGATTTTCTTTGTAAAAAATCATACGGCAGTAGTTAAGCTGCGTCGTCTGTCACGCCTGTTGTACAAAGGACATTGTAATTGCACAGAGGATTAGAGATGCAATCTGGTATTAACAAACCGCACTCTTTTTCAATCCGTCTTCATTGATTTGCTCAAAAATGTGAGGCTGAAGTGTTCTAGTAAAATGTATTTATTTCGCTCAACTGTACTCATGCCTCCAAACACCGCGCAATTTCTAACATTATTTTTCTTGATGCAGGCAACTACAGTTTGACCGTTACAGGGCCCAGCCAACAGGAAGTGTTTACCTTCAACGTGGTAGTGAATGCACCGCCAAAAGTAAAGCGTATGGCTCCTAGAAGCGTGTATGTTTTGGAAGGACAGCCAGTGCAAATCGAAACTGAATTCGAAGGACGATTGACTTCACGGGTACGCCGTTGAACTTATTTCCATTAGATTCTTTCCTAGTACGTGTGACTTGCAAAGTGATTCTTTGTTTGGTAGCTTGTTTGAATTATCTAATCTGCGAGCTCAAAAACTAGCATCTAGTTACAAAGCGGCATTGCTCCTGATATATTTATCCAGCATCCTAGTCCAATGTAGATGAACATTTTGCGTATTCTCCCATTTCTCCATATCCACTTACAGATTTTGCCATAACAATAATTAAATTCTGCTTAAACCAAACATTATTCGAACTTTGCAGTAAGGAAGTCAAATTTACTTTTATCATTCAGCTGTTGCCCGTTCTGCAGCATGACACAACCCGGGCGGACTTTGTCTGGTACTTTAACTACATTCTTGTTGTAGGTTCTAGATCTCTTCTCTATTTCGTTGGCTCTATTACGCAGCTCGTTCTCTCCCACAGTTACTAATCAATTTCTAATGCGTTAAGAATTTTTCTCAAGTTACATCAAGTTACATCCATTTTACCCATCCCGAGTTGTCGGAAAGAGGCTATGACCCAAGATCGGATAACTGTTTTCTTTTGTCTCATTTTAAATGCCTTATACTTTACTGTGGCTCTACATCGATACATACAAGTTTGTGGCCAAATCCCTCCAAAACACCGTTAGGAAACCTTTTTTTGTACGCGCATAAAACAACTTATAAATTGCAAAATTCCCATCAAAGAATTCAGAAAAGCAATTGGCGAATAAATGTAAGCCTTCCATAAATTAATATCGGACAATTATACTTATATCTGAACGGGGTCAAAAATATACATGCAGCCTATTACTTTCGCTATCTTATGCAAATGAGTCATGGAAATGAAGGAGGGGGTGTTGGGATCGATACTCAGCGGCTGGTTACGCAGCCTTGAAGGCTTGTTGAAGCCGGGCCCCGGGGGGAAGGAGAGAGGAAGAACGCGCGAAAAAGTGCATACAGTTAACCGTGGAACCTGCAGGGGGTTATTTTGCACGCACAAGACCGGATTTGTCAATCAGATTTTGGTTGCTTCTGCTGTTGATGTTGCTAGCAAGGCCCAGGGATTTGGGGTAGTTTGGTGGGACCATATGAGTCACCCCGAAGGATTCGTTGGAGTCCACACGATGTCCGGGATCAACAATACGCGCGAGAATAGCGCTGTTTATGCTCCCGACTTCACTTTTTTTCAGCCATGCCGGTGTGCGTTCCTTTGTTCTTTTGAATAGGCGCCGACTCTTGGGACCAGTATAACCTGCTCCACAGGAGCAAGTTAAGGAGTTGGTCTGAGGTAGTAACCTATCCTTACCTTCCCCGTGCAAGACCGATTTGGTTGAGAATGATACCCGAACTCTCGCCGCTGGAAAGGTTCGCGACAGGGCTTGGTCAAGGCGTCTTTTCAAGAGTTCACTTGCCGTATCCCCTTGAAGGGGGACTTTGAAGAATGGTGTTTTGTCTTCCACAGTGAATGTGGTGGGTTTTATTCATTTTGCAACCATATTCCTTGTAATAAATCTCTCAGGATACCCGTCCTCCTGAAGCAGGTCCTGGACTTTCTTAAGCTCCTACTTAATACTGTTTGCCAATTATGACGAACGTCATTGATAGCAGGTTTACCTCTGACCCCGTTCCCATATAAATGTAATGGCCCGGTGAGGGTTAATCGAAAGTTTACGTTTGCTCGCCAACTGCTCTTCTGACCTGGAAATTATTGTCGTTCTCAGTAGTATGATGTTTCTACGAGTAAAAGCTCTTCTTATCTGTCCTTCCTATCAACTCCTTGACTCTACATGGCCTTTTTTCTTCCACTGTGCTGTAGTCCGTAAGCATCAACGGGATTCTCATAGACACATTGTCGACCGCGCTGTTCGAAGAGTCGTTGAGGCATCTGCGTGACCGATTCCCCTATATCGATGACCTGTATCCAGACATCGAGTTCCCCTCTGATACTTCTATACGCTACACTCTTCGGGACATTACTTCCAGCGCGAATGCGCCTTACGGAGCCTCGCATTCGGTTACCCTGACTGGGACGAATACTCTCGGCAGCGCTCATACCCAGACCGTTATCAGAGTCCTTTGTAAGCCAGACCGTCCGTTTGCCAACCCTATTTCTCTCTCTCTCGCGTTTTTGTCTTCCAACTTTTTTCCCATATGATCCTAGACTCTACCCAAATTCTCTTCTATAAGCGGCACTCCGCCTGATAACAGAAAGTCACTAACACTTTGGACCACTTTTCGTGCCTATCTATTCTAGGACAAGGCAACTTGGAATGTGTAAAATATTAATGTTTTTTACTGTACAGTTTGTGGGAAGAGAGGAGAAGTTTCTCTCCGTTCTTGACGCTTTTAACTCACTTCTGCATGAATAGAATTTAAAGTTGTGATCCTTATCCTAGTCCTTTTTATTTCAACATAACCTCTCCTACGTGTTTAAAGCTTGATTGCTGATTATTGCTTCGTCCTTCCAGTGTGGGCCATTTTTGATGATTATTCGCATTCGCAAACCATGCCTATCTGGTTACTTTGCTTTACCTTACGTAATTATGTAACATACTAACAGCACAGATAGTAGTTAAAAGCCCATACAGGCGTGTTTCGCCGACCTCGTGCAGCTGCCGGACATCTACTAGGCATTCGCCTCATATGGGGGTCTCCAGCGTTCCTCGTGTGTTTTCTGGTATATGGACACCAGTTTTATCCTGTCTTGTTTTATTTCCAGGGGAGTTAATGCGCGAAGTTGGACTTACTCCTTCGGAGCAGACCTTTTCAAGCTCAGTCCGAAACTTGATACAAATATTTGAGTTGAAATCCACTAGTTATTTTTGTGTAACCGCATAATACTGTCAACAGGCAGTCGGTAGTATACAACTACGTAGTTATTTACTATGCTGACGGCACACGTACTACGTTTCCCTTTCGATTAAACACCGCGTCCAATGTAGTAATTTCTGAGATGTCCACATTTTAACGCAGTTCCCCCAATGCCTTTTGCCTGACATCATTTCGCTTCATACTGCAATCTTCAGCACCCCCGCGGATCACTCGCTTGATGGCTGACAGCAGTTGTGAAGATGACTGCTTCAATGGAACCAGTCACCGTTTCCTTTGTGATGTTGACCTTGCACCCTATGCTGGCCTTAACGTAGTCAAGACGTGGGAATTGGACGGTCGAGACCTGGACGCTCTTCATCAACAGGATCCCCTACTCACCTTTTTGAAAGTTGCCGGAAATGAGGTAGGTGTTTAAGGCATTTGTGTTTGAATCCTACGCCGGGTTTTGAGTACTTATTAAACAAAAGCCCTCTGTACGTGTACTTGTAACTGCCGCCAGACTTATCGATCCAATCGTCGGTGAGGTCTCTCCGTTTTTGACCATTCCTCCCTAGTAGCAACGTCGCGAATCGAGCGCAGTCTTGCCTATTAGATCGAGCGCGATTCGTGCGCGAAAAGGCAGGTATTGTTTTTGCTGCCGATCCATGTGCAGGTTTCGGTGACTTTTAATGGTCCTACCGGACAATATCGAAAGATGTGCTCACTCAAGACCTTCAGCATCGTAGTGTGGTTGTATTCGTTCGTTTACCATCGCATAATGATACCAATAGAGTCGCCCTTATGACCTTGAGGAGTTTTCTGAATGTAGGTGGCCTCGGCGAGGCGGATTTTTCGAGGTTCATCGCCACTCCAGTAAGGGGATTATCGTGCTTTTTGGCACGGTTATTAGGTTTGACCCATAATTACATCCACATCTGTGTTTGTGCCACATTGCGGGCCACGAAACACTTTTCGATAAATAAGTGTTGACGCCTAGTGAAAGTCTGATCCCTCAGTCTGTGTCCGTAAAAAATGTCGAAAATGTCAGTCTGAGCAGTATGTTTGATCTGCCTGATCGGTGGTACCCCTTGGGTTACGCTGTTTCAACTTCATTAACCGACATTTCTGTTCATCGCATAAGAGCGAGACTGAGAGAGAGAGAGAGGCGCTTCATCCAACATTTTCAGTAAAAAATGGCTCATTCACTGACATCACAGGACAAATTAACGACGTACGCGTGGATCTAAAGGTTTACATTAAATACTCACCTATTCTGGACACAGTTTCAGTTCCACCAGATGAGAACAGCCCCCATAGGTTGCTAAAATCGGTACTGAATGCTTGTACAGCCCCCTAACGGGCACAATCGATAGGTAGGCGGTTATGCGGGAGCGGTGGCAGTTGTTGTTGTTGTTGCAGGATCAATTGCAAGGTAAGTGGCTTTAGAACCA